CGACGGAGCTAACCTCAACGTTTCTGGCACCGTTAAAGAGATGGAGAAGTCCCTACAACAGGTGATAATTTTTCCTTGCGTGTTTCTTTTCGTTTTCGAGAATCATTCGTCATTTCTCTTAATTTTCTTGTTGTATCGCAGTGTAAAGAGGAGTATGATCATGCCATCCTTCGGCTTCGTGAGGAACTTTCTAGCCAGGAGAAGGAGCGCGATAACATTGCTTCGAAATTTCAAGACTCGGAGGCTCGTGGCGCACAGAGAGATAAAGAGTTGGGGGAGCTTCAGGCCTCTTTGGAGGCGGCTCTTCGGGAGAAGGTCGCTCTTGCTGACAAGGTATTCTGCCTTGCTCAAACCTCCCCCTTTTACTCCGTATCCATACGTGTTTTGTTATTCACATATTCACCATCTCGCCTTTCCTTGTAGGTTGAGCAGAGCAGCTCGCAGATTAGTCAGTTGGAAACAGACATCTCCGGGCTGAAGGAGTGGAGCAAGAATGTAACCAGGGAATTGGTGACATCCCGGGGCCTTCTCGCGGACACCTACAGGGAGATTGCTACATTGGCTGCGGCTAAGTCTGAGGCCAAGCAAAACGTCGTCGCTTATAGGGAGGATGCAGCTACAGCGCATGCAATGGTTCGTGACATATCCCTTGCGACTGGGAAGAAACTGGCACGAGCTGTCGAGCATGCCAAGGCGAAGGCGAAGGCGAAGAGGGAGGTCCTGGAAGAACTCGAGGCCAGGGGCTTTGAGCTATCTGCCGACTTGAAGGAGGCTCTCATGATGGAGGGAACGTTGGCGATTTTGATTGTCCCCGATGGGGGTGAAGATGATAGTGGCGAGGAGTAGTCTCCGAGCCCCCCTTTTTTGTGTATGCCTCTTTTTTATTTTATGCGCTCTCCCTCCCGGGAGACTAATAGTGTAAAAAGGCGTTTTTCCTTTTTGTTAATGCACGAAAGGAGCTTTTATTCTGCTAGTCCTTCTTGCTGCTTTCCCTTTATCCTTCCCCCCTCGGAGCCTTTTCATAGGACGGGTCGGGGGCCCCGAGACCAGCCATGTCCCGAGGTTGAGTCAATGGCTCCTCCGAACTGATACATGTGACATCGGGGGTCTCTCAAGGTACCTTGATTTTATGAGTCATGTGGGAGCCTGAGATGATTTTGCCGGTGCACTCCCCAAGGAGAAGGGGACGTTTAACACGACCAAAATTAATTGGCCATTTTGGGCAATTAAGCAGTTGTTGTCTGGCCCCTATATATTTATCTATCCGCCCTTCAAGCAGCGATTTTGTAGTTGTTTGGTAAGCCTATCTCCTTTGTAGAGCTTGGCGCTTTGTGCGAGTTTCTCCATTTCTTTGCTTTAGGGAGTTTTTTCCTAAACCCTCCTCTTCTTCTCCGTATTCCGTCGTGGCCATGGCCGCTGCTTCGACACCTGATCTCCGGATGAGTGGGATTCCTTCCTGCGTTC